TTGGTAACCAATTCATACAAATTACTGTCTCACATTGGAAAGAGTACAACATAAATTCCTGAGATTCTGTGCCTATAAAATGAAAATACACATTGACAATCATGATTGTACAATTCCTTTGAACATTCTTTACCTAGACTTGTTGATCAGAAGAAGAGAGAATCCTGACCTTATACTTGTATACAAATTAATTAAAGGCCTTATTATATGCCCGGAACTTCTCTGCAGGTTACACTTATACGTGCCAAAGAAAACTCTCAGAAATAATGATCTGTTCAACGTTTCCTTCCATCATACGAACTATGGAATGCATTCTCCTATTGGTTGTTAACTTAGAATGTTCAATGAAAAAACCTGAACCTAGAGATCACTGGTATAGGGCTGTAAAAATTTAAATGTCTTCTGAGAGGAACTTGAAGATTAATTAATTATACACCAAATTCTTGATGTATTCACGCATCACTTATATGTATCGTTTATATTATTCTCGTCATTCATCTCTGTATTTTGAATTGTATAATTTATAATTCTGTTTATCTTAGTGCTTTTGCCCTTAGTCTTTTCTTTGATTTTTAAATTGTATATGAATATTTATTTTATTTGATGCTTGTACTATTATTAAACGGGTGATTCCGTGCAATATAAAAAGTTCACATATTAAATTGAAAATCATGTACTAATGAGAGTTTAGAGTTAGATGGGTTTAAGAAGAATACTAGTACTTTCAGTTATATCTCTAATAGCTCCCCCCAATGCTCCCAATAAAATAGTCTGACTATATTTTTTGTTCATAGGCTGGTCACGTTTCCCCTTGAGCTAACAAGTATATGATATAGAGAAAACAGTTATTAAGGAAATAGCTCAAAGTAACCGTCATCTTCAAACATAGTAGATACATTAATTAGGAAATTGGGGGGCTTCATAAATTTATAAATCTTCCATTTGAACCAAAATGCACCTATGGATTGATCTCAATTTCCGAGAAATTGAAGATTCAAATGGCTTTCAAAACTACTCATATACTTCAAAAAGTGATGGGTAACCTGAAAGATAGGACATCTTCAACATATTCGGTTCCATAGACTAGACAAGTCTAGTGTCGCTGAGCACAAAATAAGTAAGGATTCTTTGAAAATATTGCAACCAGTACATAACAATAGGCCTTCGAAAGTTTAGAAATGGAAAAATTTAGAATGAAATTTATGAACAAGGACAGAGATCACATTCCGAACAGCTGGTTTTTCACTCTATTACAAAATAATCACAGATAGAAACTAGGTAAATATTAGGTATAATAACTGGTAGTCATTAAAATAGTGATAAGAAGTTATATAAGATAACAATATAACACAATAACTGAGAATTCATTATAATACCCGCATTATCAAAGGTAATAGTGCGACCAGATGCACATTGAATATTTGAGTTAGTTGTAAAATTTGTTTGTAATCAATCATCTGTTAATTATGCTATTTTGGTTAGCAAAACATGTGTCGAAAGACAGAGTGTAGTGTTCTCAATGGATCAATTTGCACCGTTATATTCATACACCAAACTCTTTGAGAAAATTGCCGCACTGGGAGTGTCCATACACTACACATACTTTTTCTTAAGGAATTCCTTAGAGTAAAAGAATGCACATGCAATAACAAACCCTGTTCTTTGTTGATATAGGTAATTTGTGTATGAGTAACCTGATTTATCGATTTTTATCCTCATAGTAGAAAATGAAGTGAAAAGTAAAAGTTTGGAGTATGAATTATCGCTTACTTAATATAGCACACGAAACAGAATAAGTACTATTCAGAAGTACTTGACTACTGTAATTCTGACCACAATTTTGTCAATAAGAATGTTCTGTTCTTTTGACAATAAAGTTTCTTTCTTTCTAAGTTTTGACGACCCTCTGTAGTGTGAAAAGAGATAAAGTTTTCTCACAGATTTGAGAAAGCAATCAGAGGTAGTTACCGTAAACGTCATCCAAAGGAAGTAAATATTTATTTGAAAATCATATATTTTCTGTCTTCAAATATCTATTACATATAAAATCTGTAGAAATAATTATGACAATTAAAATGAATAAATAAGGCTCGTCATTTGAATAGTATAAGATGCTAGTCCATACCATTATCTTTAGTATTCAAATCTACTCACAGTAGGATTGTAACTTCTTTCTTACATTCACAATAAAATAGGATATTCCATGTTGGACAAAACAGTTCAAAATACTTTAACCCTCTTCGAAAGCCCCATCTAGTTTCTCAATGACTAATATGTCGCTGGGCGTTGAGTATTTTTTAAATAAATAACTTCTCGATAATTTCTTATTCAGCATCTTTTTGTTTTCCACGATGAAAATAAAAATTACAATTGTGGTAGCCAAATTTGACTAGATTCTACCACAGTAATCATCAAATAATTTTAGAGATGCTTAAATAACCCTCAATCTCGATATCTTTTACAACCAAATAGGGCTCTGACGGATAATTTCGTAGAAAATAATTTAAATAACAAAAATTCATCGAAATGTAAATAAAATTTAAAAAAAATTAGACTAGTAAAATTGAGTCATCTTATGTGCATAATCTGTAGGAACAATATTCTTGAATAATGTCAGTCAATAAATAATTTTACTCTAATCAAAAATTAAATTTATGTTGATATATGAGAGGAATTGGAGAGTACATATTCATTAAAAAAAAGACTGAAACTGAAGAACTTTGCCATTTCACCGAAAAGAAAATGTAGGGTATCGTAATTCTGATTTTCTGAAAAGGGATCAATTGAACTAATAATATACGGAAGCAGAGAAATGTCATAAATTTTTATTTATTTTTTTTATTACATCGACAGTCAAAATTTTGATGTCGTAAAATATTGATTTTAAACTTGAAAATGTTTCTTTTATCTCATTACTTTATTATTGGCACAACTTTTACTTTTGATTGTTCAATTCGTCATTATTTTCTTCACTCTTAAACTTGAAAAATTGATGTTAAACTCGAAATTGAGTCTTGAAATTAAAAATTTTTACTTTAGTCTTGAAATTTGACTTTGAATTGATAAATTGGATTTGAATCTGTGAATAAATGATACAATGTCGGATTTAAAAAAAAAGAAAATATGTGACACTCCTGCGCTTGTGTACTAATACACATTTGGGAAGATTTCAGCAGATTACACTAAAGAGAAACGACCACCACCGAAAATATCCATATTACTTACTTCCAACACATTATGCACTTAAGCTAACCGAAAAATATTGCTTGTATACTTCTCCATGCCTAAAATACGACACCTAACTCCAGATTTTACAATAAAATACACCGCATCTATACATCATAGTTACGTTACTAGCGGGGTTATGACAAGAAATCCTTCTCGATTTCCGCCAGCGTAGGCCTTTGCCTCGTCCTTCTAGCTTGCAAAGGAACAGTGGGGTCCTGATGTTGCCCGGGTACAGGCAAGTCTATGAGCGTAGTCGGAGAAAACCTAACCCTACTCACGCTACTGTTGCTCTCCTTCGCCGAAACGTACGAACTGTCATCGCTAGTGAGGCTATCAGGTGGGGTGGGGTTGGTGGGCGTGTTGCCCCCAGAATGCCCCTGGGTCGACTGGTAGTTGCTCCTCTTCAAGCTGGATCGAAGCTTGGTGTATCCAGAGGTTTCCAAAGTGGTCGGTCTCTCGAAGTTGGAGTCGTGAGAGTTTTGACGAGAGTAAGTAGAGTTGTTGTAGTCGTACTCATAGGGCGGCCTTCTGGGCAGGTAGTGCGATGAAGTATACTCGTCCTCCAAGCGGAAGCTGGGGTTCACGTTGGAACCGCTGGTTGTGGTTGAGCTAGCATTGGAAACGTTTGAAGGCGTCCGCTTGTGGGTGTTCAGAAGCGGGCCAGTTCTGTGGTCCTCCTCGACCAATCCACCGATTTGCATATGTTTCAGTTAAATGCTGACGTGCTACTTGACTAAAATGGGCGGGAGCCCCATCATGCATAAAAAACATGTCCCTTCTGATGCCCAAAGGAACTTCCTCCAGCAGTACTGGATGCACTTCTCTTAAAAATTGAACGTATGCCTCACCCTTTAATCGAGGAGGTAGAAATTGAGGCCCAATTAAATCATCCCCGATAACTCCGAGCCACACGTTAAGAGAAAACTGTTCTTGATGGTTAGTTTCGACAATAGCGTGAGGGTTTTCATCAGCCCATATGTGGTAACTATGAAAGTTGAAAGACACGCCAGATGAAGCCATTGTATGGCGAAACACGTGTTGCGTTTTTGTAAAACAATTTAGTGAAAATCTCACAATAAAGTGTTTTTGGAATACGTTTGAAAATTAATAATCTTGTCCCGAGAAAAACTACATTCGTCTGTGAATTATATCGTCTAAAGAAAGTCACAATTTATTCTAATCATTTCCAGCATCCAATTGCAAAATTCGGTTCGGAAAGTCTCGCGGTAACAGTGCCTGTACTCGTTGCAGATGGTAGGGTAAAAAGAGTTGTTCCTTTAAAATTCGAAATACCGTCATATGATCAACATTTAGCTGGGAAGAAATCTTTCTAGTACTGGTAGTAGTTTGTTCTTCAATCAAATTGAGCACTGCTTCCTCAAGCTGTGGTGTTCGCACTTCTCGATGGCGACCACAATCCTGCGTTCTTTTGTCGAATGAACCATATTCTCGTAATCGTTGATGAAGTCGAGCAAATATTCTATGTGAAGGATGCTGTCGTTGAGGATACATTTCAGCATATCTTCTAGAAGCTTCTAACCCATTCCCCTGCGACAGACCGTAAACGTATTAGTATTAATTCACTTTCGAAAATTCACAAACTGACAGCGTCATACCAATTTAATTGTCACTATCGCTAATAGCGACCTACTAGATAGATTAGTTTCGTATTTTCGCATTTATGACAATGTATCTCTGTAGTTGTTCGTCATATTCAGTAGTAATTTTTGTGCCTTTTTGTTTCAGTAATAAAACATAAGGGCTCTTAAAAGTCAGACCTTGACCTTCAAGTAAATTTCAATTTCCCACGATCAAGTTCAAGTCCAAGGTCATCATCGAATAACAAGAAAAATCGTGAATCCTTGATACTTTGGTTTTTTCCTGCCCCTCCACATTTTCAAGTAATTCAGCTGTATTGGAATTTTTGGACCACTTTGTATATGAGTATGTGGTTATACCACATAGTGGTATATATCCTGAATTTCATAAATCAATGCATATATGTTGGTAATAAAATGAATACACTGGTGTACATGCTTAAGAACCTACGTACTGTCCTAGATGAGCAACAGCGTATTTTGTGGTACAAAAATGAATGAATACAAATTAGGATGTAATTCTCCCAATATTGTAGGGCCACAGTTCTTCAATAAGTTACCGAATCCTCTATCTTGAATGTTTTTAAAAATAGATTGAAAGATATGCTTGTAAATAAGTGAATTACTGTGGATTATTTTTTGTCTGAAACTGACAGATGAAAATAATTTATATTCATCCATTTCATAGTGAGGGTGATGTTGAGGGGAGTCGGTGAACCGCAGAGGTTTCATTTCTTCATTTTGTACGTTGAGTAGTTGCGACCCCGTCAGCATGGGGCGACAATGTTTGGTCGGGCCGTGGTATGTGTTGTGATTATAACCTGACGTTGTGGAATACTCGTAGTCTTGATTTTCTACGGGACGCCAAGCTGGCAGTTCATTTACTTCTAATCTGGAACAGGACCGAGTTAGTTTATTAGAGGATACTTCGAGGACATTCTTATCCATGCTGAACACACAGTACAAAATTGCTCTAACCAGACTGTTTCAGACTCGGTTCTATTTTCTTTGTCAAACGAAATCTAAATATCACTCTAAAAACATTTCTCAATATGAAAAACCAATACCAAGGTGTATTGAGAAAGTGCATCATCGGACTAAATGTAAAGAAATATTTAAAATATGGAAGATTCTTAGGGCTGGTTTAGACATACTAGTCTTTGTCACAATTCTAGTCTTTGTCTCAATGCCTTAAGAATTTTTAAGACACTTTTTCTTCAATCACCATAAACCATCAGCTATCAACCCATATTTGTAGTTGTAGACCATTCAATTAGATTAAATTTTGTTTGTAGAGCAGTTCAAGATCTTCAGATCCGGGTTTTCCTGCAGCTTAAGCGCGTTGTTGACGTTGAAATTCCGGAACTTTCAAGGTCAACATTTCAGGACTGAAATCGACCACTTATATTGTCGTCAGATTATTATCTCTAATTATAAATACTTTGACTGGTAACACTGTATGTCATTAGTTCTAATTCTTAGGATTAAAAGTATGCTGTATAAATTGGCCAGTCTTAAAATGAAGAGATTAAAATGGAGGCAAAGTCTGAAACAAGGACTATGATGTGTAAATAAGACTATATCTATCTGCAAAAGAAATGCTGTTACAAGTATTACACATAAAGATATATCATAGACAAAATTTTAACAAAAAATCTCATAGCTTTTTGGATAGTACATTTTCCAAATTATCGAAATACAAATTCTCAGTATTTCAATGACCACTTTTTCTTGAAGAGTTTGAATGAGCAGTTTGGAGGTCTAGATTGTGATAATTCAGACTGAGAACTAGTAGACCGCATACATTTGTCAAATTTTGTGCTGAATAGATTATTAAGGTTAATAGAGACAGATCAGACACTCTGTCAATAAGGAGAGCTATGATATTGCCGATTGGTACTAGGCAGTAGTAAATAATTTACACTTACAGAAATTTGAATTTCTAAAATGTCGTGATGACATAAAAACACAATATTTTATGCTTACTCGTACACCATTGGAGTTTCGATTTGATCGCGAACAGTCTTTCAAAGCGCGTATTTTGTTCCATTCCAGGGTTTATTAGTATGTATGTATATTTCAATATTTTGAAAATATATTTAGAATTTTCCTACCTATTTGGTTGCAGTCTTGGGTGTAAAGGCGAAACATTAGATAACCTAACGTCATATCCAGAGGCAACGCCTGCTAACATGGCAGCTATATTATACAATACTAATTCCACTATGCTGAACTTTGGTTTCATTCGTTGTCCTGAAACACAAAATAAAAATTCCCAAATCCAAAAGAAGGAATAGAAACATGTGTGTAATAAACCACTCAAATGATTAAAGAACATAACCAAATTGAAATTACTAAGCACAATTCTTTGTAAGGTTCGATTGTACTAAACTCTAGGTCTTGGTTCTCAACTCATGTTTGTTAAGATTCGTGTCGTTGAAGAATACAACTTTTGTTTGAAGGTGATTGACAATGTTTCATGATGAATTTCACTAGTTCGGACTTCCATTGTCTACTATATAAAATGATTTGAAATCCCTGAAACAACTAAAAAAGAAGAATTGAAAATGAATAGCTGAAAATTAAAATCATATTAAGCAAAATAAGTCTGAAATGAAATAATAGTGAAATAAAATACAAGTAAAAATAAAACAATTGAACAAAAAATTAAAAATANGTATTTTTTGGATATACCCTGTATATGCAGTTCAAATTGTACAATTTTAATATTTGATTGGATGGCTATGTATGGTTCTGAGAAGAAAACTCTTAATTTATACGGCTTCACTTGTTACTTTTCTTAATAAAAACAAATCATTCTTGTTTTTTGCTATATTTTCTATTTAAATCTCTTTTCCACTGCAGGGCAACTAGGGGGAAGATATCATTACCATTACTTTCCAGCTTGTCTTTTTCAGGACATTTGAGTAGTTCAACTTAGTTTCACTGATGAGACTTGTACATGTACATCTAGAACCCTGTATATTTTTCTAGGCGATTTGGTAGAATATATGTTCAACGATGTAGCACAAAAGACCATTTCCATTCAAAATTGAAATCTAATCTAATACGAATGATAACCCTGAAAAGTCGAAAATTGTGGCGAGCTAAGGATTGACGAGGTCCTACATGTCAACGGGCGATCCGTATGATGTCATCTGTGGAAATATTGTCAAACAACTTAATGTTGTGGGAAACAAAAGACGATTTTTAGAAATGAAAATTTGGGGATTGAAACTTGACACCAACTGATCTTCTTTTTATTATATTTTTCAAATGATAACTTGCGTTATGTAGTCGAAAAAAAAAAGTTGTATTTTAACAAAGATCTAGAAAACTATAAAGGATTCTATTTGAATTACTTGACTCGGGTTTTTCCTGGTTGAACCAAAATAGGTTTTCAACGGTTTTTTCGTCAAACATTTCGTTTCAAATTTCAAAATTCTTAGCCCAGAAAGACCTAAATGAAGACGTGTGTCATGATTTTGTTGTCAACCAATATGATGTGAATTATCTTCTACCATTGAATTAAAACAAAACAAACTACCTCAGATTTCAGATAGTGAAAAATCAGATTCAACGTGCTTAGTATTTATCCCAAATTTTTTCAACTACATGTGAATACCTAATTTTATTTAATTCTGCTCAAATATTTTCTCACGAAGAGAAGAACAAGAGACTTGTATGTCACAATGTTCATTCACTGCTTATGTCAAAAAAATTTCACTTTAATTCGCTCTAGTTTACCCCTGCGGGAAAAATTTTCTAACTACATGGTTACCATGGTTCAGAATATTATTCGGATAATGGATAAAATTGAGATTTTGATATAGGACTAAAATCACTTCACTTACCATCTGCACTATACAATGTTGGTATCGGCACATTAGGTCTAATCGTTCCAGGAATGGGATATTCGGGTCCCCAATCTTCAGGCGGTGAATAATCTGTTGGTGCAAATATAAACTTCTAACTTTTACTTTCCTTTGTGAATATGATCGCAATCTAGCTACTGAACACAAAAGTTGCAGTTCTACAGTAAACGCATAAGTACATTCTTCGACTGGATCATAACACAGCAACTAAATATTCTCAGAAAAAAATTAACATTTCCTTATGTTAGAAGGAACTCAAAATGGACTGAAATTTTTGAAAGATTTTCTCAAATATCTGTCTAATCACTTTACTTACGTATCTGCACAAACTGTAAATCAAAACTGTCCATATTACTAGAATGTTTTACTTGCTTAGTTACAGGCTAGTAAACAACCGAGAACAAGTAGAACTTTCACAGATAATCAGTGATTGCATAGCAAAACATTTCTTGTTTTGCAGACACGAACTTGATATTATAAAATATTTTTGGTATATTTCCTTTCCAAACTAGAATTTTCTGAAGCATGAATATAATCATGATAGATTTAAAATAATTGTTAGTAATGAAATATTAGAGAAAATCATGAGGAAACGGAAAATATTCAATAGGATTCTAAAACTGTGCAACACAAAAGGACTCAGTAAACTAGAGATAATACTAAGTTTATTTGGCATTCCATTTCAGTCAATAAATACAACCTCACAGCATTTTTGAATTTGATAATTATCTTGACTCCTCTCATTTATATACCAAGTATGCACTAAAACTAGTCTGATTTTGATATCGCAGTGGGAATGGGAGGTGCCAGTAAAAACATGACGAAACTTAAAAAATATGTAATTGATGATCCTGCATTGTTAGAGGGTATACGTAGACTGTTCAAAAATTAAGATGGATGTTCAAATTTTGCGGTCTACGTACATTCGATTAGTATTTTTTTCATTTTATGTTGGTACACTTGTGAGGCATAAAAGTTTGCAGTGTTTTGCGTGTTCAGCGATTTCCTGCTATCGAAAAAATGGAATCAAGTGCTTAAAAACACTTGAAATATTGACAGTGGCATACGGTAATTGTACTCCCGAGTCAGAAAAATGTTTACAAGTGGTACAAGCTTTTTAGAGAAGATCAAGAAGTGAATGAGGACGCTCGGTCTGGATGCCCCAACACAAGAACCGATGAAAATGTTGAGAAAGTGAAGAAAATTGTTATGGAGAATAAACGAATTCCTATTAGAGAAGTGCTGAGGATGTTGGCATACCGGTTGGTTCATGCCATGCAATTTTTGTCGTAAATTCTGAGCATGAAACATGTGGCAGCGAAGTTCGTTCCAAAATTCTTGAATTTTGACCAAAATCGACAGAAATTGTTGAAGTCAAAAGCAATTCAAATTGGCTTAAAATGGTCATAACTGATGACGAATCATGGGTATATGGTTATGACATTGAAACCAAAGTTCAATCGTCCCAATGGAAGAGCCTAGGAGAGCCAAAAACAAAAAAAGCACGCCAAATTTGATCAAATGACAAGGTTTCGCTCAGTTTTCTTTGATTACCGTGGCATACTGCGTCTGGAGTTCTTACCACATGGTCGTACAGTCAATAAGGAATATTATCTTGAAGAAGAAGCAAGAAGCAATCCTAAGAAAAACGTATTCATTGCTTGTTTGTGATTTTTTTGACAAAAACAATACCATAATCATGTCTCAGCCACCGTATTCACCAGAATTATTTTTTTTTTGTAGAAATGATGAAATCGCCAACATTCGTTATATCAAATAAACCTTGAAGAGCCTACATTGCAAAAAAACCAATAATGAAAAAATCAGTTTGTCACTTCACAGTGTTAGTACTTGAATTATAGGAATAAAAAAATGTAGTCTCAGGTCTACTTCCAGCTTCATGGCAAATTCACTTAGAAGAAAAAAAAGTATTTACAATTTTTTTCGAGAAGACTTGTTAAAAATAGAAATCAATGTTCAACAAATCAAATGAAAAATGTTAATGTGCAAATCAGTAAGAGGCAAATAAAAGCGTTCACGCAAAGAAATATTAATTTTGATTAGAAACAAACGGTGCGGAAACCCAGAAGGACATGCGTGTGAAAATAAAATAACAGCAATTTAAAAACATCTTAGCAATGTTTATTAAAAATCAGATTACATTAAAAATAGACCATCACCAATAAAGACAACTTTTTTGAATATATTCCGAACTTGGAACACATTACAAATTAAAAACCAAAATGCAAAAGCAGGAAAGAAAGAAATGTTTGTTTTTTCATTCAAGCTATACTATAGCCTGTTGAAATCCAAGAGCTATGGAATATATTCAAATTAAAACTACATAAATAAACTGGCATAAAAATCTAAGTCACCTAACTACAAATAAAATAATTACACAATCAAAATCTACTCGAAGATTCAGGATAAAATGAAACAATATCAATATTCCTAAGACATGCTACTGTGCTTAAAACTAAAAAAAAAAAAAACTTAAATATTTGGGGAAGTTCAATTGACTTACATATTATGTTGGGGATATCCTGAGATATACCTTTATAAAAATTTGTAATTAATACATGGGAATGTATACCTCATTTTTTGTAAAATGTTCATAGAGGGAAATTAAAGTTACCTATAGGATATTTTCAATAGTCATCCTAAGTAAAATTTTAATGGAAAATTTCGAAGAAAATGACATACCAACCTATTTATCCTGTGCGATATATTCCAGTCAATACTTATCACAATATATATATAAAAAAATAGGCAAGCAATTATGTCTTAAATTGTTTTGAAGTTTCATTTTTTCTCTTAGTTCCTAATGTATGCCCTTCTTGCACTCATATGTATGACCACTCTACCAAATTGACAGTGAAATTGTGAGAACTTTTACAAAGTTTAATACGACTATCAATTTTTTTTTTTGTGAAAAGGTCAATTTTGTTTTATGAAAAAATTAGCATATACATGTTCTACATTTTGAATCCCTCCACAAAATCATAAAGCCTGGTGAATAGTACCATATGGGAGATAATCATTTGGGAGTCCTGCTGATAAGTGAGACATGTTAAGAAAACAATAGTTTCATAATGAAATTGATGCTTCCCAAATAGTTTCCAGAATTTTTCTGTCAGATTAATCACCATTACGGTTTCATTATATTTATTTCATGAAATCATGTCTGTCTTGTTTTCTACTGGAAACTGTTAGAAATTATTTGCAAATTAAATAGTTAGATGAAATATGCAGAACATCAAGATGTGAATGAAGTTTAAGGAATAAGATGTTTTGAATACTATACTATTTGGTTTTCATTAATCAGATTTCAATTATACCAATATAATAAACACTGCATTTTTTTAAATAATTCTTTTGTATCCCGAAAGACCTGAAAAACCAGTTTCAATCAAACTGTTAACTCATTTAATAATTTAAAATACAGCAGATCACGATTTAAAAACTTGAAAAGGTTGCTTTTATTGAACCCTAGGTTTAAACGTTTTCATCTGGCTGCAAGCAGTCTGTGAATTGAGGGACATATTAGTGTCTTCAGGAGTACCTCAAGTAACACTTTGTTCGAAGACTGTATCGAGAAGCGATACAAACAAAATGGAAAATAAATATTTTGGAATAAAATTTCGAAATATTCATCTCTCCGAACTATCTACACCGTAGGTTTTTTCTAAGTGCCTGCCGGAAAGCGACTACTTCCCCGGCTAATACCACGTTAGATATTGAATGATATCCCGACAGACATACATGTACCAGACCAGACCTTTTACTAAGTGGTAAAGGGGAAGATATCATAGACCAACAGCTGATGACAAATTTGTAATTTGCAGCAGGTATTTTGAATACTTTGAAATGAAAAAAAACATCCTTGAAAATCAATAGCCTGGGGAGATATTTTGCGATTATTTTGTTATTGTATTATTGTAACTCGCTAGAAGAATTTTTCAATAAATGTCTTCAATTTCCGTTTCAAAATATGCATAGTATGTAATTAATTAACAAATGTGTTCATGTATACTTATTTAGATTAGATTAGTTGATATTGATGACTGGCTTTTTTCTTATTTACATTTGCACTCCTCGATTAGATACTCTAGAGATCTATACTGTCTGTTGTGACAATATATTTTTAAGATGACGTGTTGAAAAATTATATACTCCTTCATCATCAGTTCTTAGGCTTTGGAGAAATTATTTTAAACTCCTATTAATAAAGAAGGATTATTACTTATTGCAAATTTATTACAAATATACTAGCTTTGTGATGAAACAGATATAACCTACAAAACAATCCAGCCGGCAATATATAATAGTATGTGAACCACATGAATAAAGTTGTGAAAGAGTGTGATTTGCATGTGATTTTTCACAGGTAAAGTATTATTGATTGTTCGATTTTAACTCTCAACCATAATGAACTTAAGTCAACTTCAATTGTATGTTGGACGTTAAGTATTTTTAAAACCGCTCAGTGAGAAGATGTCCAATAATCAAGAGGTGTTTTTTGCAACCTTTTAATCCCCCCTTGATATGTGATAAGGTTTTAGACAACCCCCTTCCCCATCCAAAATGACATGTATTTTTTGGATATAAGTATCTTGAAACGTTTGGAATATTTCCTTAAATACAGGTACAATCTAATTTGATTTTGGAAAATAAGTATATCACGTGATTAATGGACGATTCCTAACAAAATATTTCAAATAGCAGCAATGGCTATCTCAGACTTTCGGTTTCATTGTCAGTAACATGAATATAGTTTTCAAAATACCTTCTTCAAACTCGTCATCAGCTTTCAGTTCTTCAATAAGAAATCAAATCACATTAGATTAATATATACGTCTGTCTAACAAAATGAAACTTCAAAACGATCAAACCCCCGTCGGGGAAAGAAATAATACTAAAACTGACTCAGTCTATATAATTTAAAACTTTTTTTATGCCTCGAGAGTATTTGTAGGCAAGCAGTCGTCAAACTATGGTGCCGCAATCGTCTAGCAACCGGTCGGTATCGTCACCTTCCCCGCAATTCCCTAAATCCACCGAATTGCTCACCCCACGCGCTATCACGAAACTATTAGTGCTGAAGACGGTATCGTAATGCGACTCCGAAATGTTGCCGATAGATCTACTCAAACGCTTGTGGCGACCCAGCCCCTTGTCTTTCGGTATTAGAGAAGCGTTATTTGTGGGAAAACTATTGTTACGAGGCGTAGTACTCCCAAACCTTTTCCGATCAGAGGCAGTCAAAGCGGATACTTTGTTTAGGAACAACTGTAGCCCAGAACTTTTGTTACTATCAGTAGGAGACGTGTTACCTATTTCGTGCGCCTGTCTGTTCGGGACGATCCTCGGTTTGTCCAGGTTAGGCGCGCTTTTCGACCAGATGGCACTCCGGTTAGCGGCAGGCCGAAGCATTATCTGGCCCCGCTCTCTCTGGTGGCAGGTGCTCGGACCCCAAGTTTTTCCCTTGACTCCATCGGCTGGTACTGAAACGAATAACGTGGTCTGCCGAAATGGTCATGGTTGCACATGAGCCCGATTGTCTGATGAGCCGTATGTGTGTCTTTGAGAATAGCGATCGACAGAGGTGTATGTCTTTTGTATGAAAAGTGAGGTACGCCACATTAATTTTTTGATGTCTAAATTCTACTCTGTCTAAATTTTTTAATGAAGTTCTATCAAGTCTCTTAAGAAAGGAAATTAATAACTCCTAGGAATTTGAATAACTTTGCTGAAAGCCTAAATATTCTGGATCTGGAGTAGATTAGTAACTTGGCTCTTCAAATACCCTTTAACAATCCACAATAATGAATTCCTTACCAAAACCATTTACAAGCCCTCTTAAGGACCTTCATAATCTATGAGATAATGGTCATTGAGATAAACTATATGGATGCATAGAGTACACAAAAGGCATCTCTCTGGGATACTTCAAAAACCAACAAATCATGAAAGACTACATATGAATTTCTCAAACGCCAAAGGAAAATTGTGCGCTACATTTACAAAACAGTCTCGCTTCATGAAGTACAAATATATAACGATTATCCAGAATTTATTTCATAAGCAGCGAAATGTTATCTTCATGGCAAGTCAATAAAGATAATCATTATCTAAATTTCCTAGAAAAAATATCTGGGTTTTCCGTTATTTTTTACTGTCTGCAACAAATTTATCTAAAGTTCTTTCACTGTGCAAGTAGACCAAAGATTGCACTTTGAATTTAAAGTCTGTGAAAACAATTGAAAATAAATTCAAGATATTATTTCACAGGTTTATCTGTTTTCGTCATACCTGAGATCAAACAGTAGCGCCTCATCACATCACCACCTGGCTCGATTTGTAGGCATAAAAATGTAGAGAGGAATGAAAGACATTTCTACATATAGTCTGGTTCACATGTACTCGATTTAGCTCTTTTTGGTGACATTTTCCAGCCCTGTCCAAAAATTACGACCAAAGTGTCATTCGATTTGTATTTTTGCCTAGAAAGTTTAAGGGAAGGTCCGAAAACGCGCCGATAAAAATTACAAAAGTTATAAACAATTAAGTAAAAAAAAAGGGGCTTTAGTTTTTTCTTAATATCTCGGAAAATTTTCAAAATTTTGGAAATTTGAAAAAAGATTTGAAAAGATCAATGAATTTGCGTAAAAACAGTCCCGACTCCCAAAACTGTATCTCGATTATTTATAATTTTTACAGAGCCCTGAAAATAGAGCCAAAAGCGGGTAGTCTGGCTTCCGCGCGCGTTTCGTCACTCTGACATAAAAACAAAAAAAAATATTTAAACATATTAAATGTAAATATTGAGGAATGAAAAAATTCATGATTTGTTCTATAATAAAAGTAACTATGTGTTTTTTTTAATTTATTCTATTTTTTATAAAACTTTTAATATTGTATATCACTTACAAGTGAAATTCATGATTATCCAATACTTAGCAATACTGATCTATATGTTTCTCGTACACATTATTTGCAATCTATGAACTCAACTTTTCATCGTGGTTTGCTAGAATTTAATAAGCTTCCAATAAAGGCCAAACTGTCTTGTCCGGTGAGAAAATTCAAGGATGCTTTGATTGAATATATAAATTAAAAATGCTGAATATTAACAGTTTGTTACTGTGTTAGCACTTTAAATTATTACTGTAAGACATCTACTGCATACTTATAGCAAATATTTGTTTGTTTCATTTATTTATTTGCTTTTTGTTGTTAGATGTATATTTATTTATGTTTGTATTTATTATGGTTACCAAGAAAAATCTCTGTTTATATTGAGTTCTATTTCATTTTATAATTCATAATTTAAGAATGGTTTGTAAACAATATTAGGTTTTCTATTTCAATAAACAATTTCAATTCTATTTTATTCCAAGAGAATAAAATTTCATAATTACTAGAAATAAAATCAAGAACAGTACTTTAGACCTGAACCTCGGTATTATGCTTATTTTCAAGGTCATCAACAACTTTGAATGATGACATTTTGAATAACCCTCGTATGTTCTTTATCTTTATTCGTATATGGATGCCCCTAAAGAGGCATTAGCCTAAAGCAGGGCACCACATAAAACACATATAATACTAACTTGCCAACATTAAGAGAAAATAAACGTATTTGATCGGTCAATCGATCGTATATGGATATATTTGTTATTTAAAATATGTCAAGGTGGGGAAAAATACAAGTACGATCGTGAAACTATACTTTGAGGACCTAAATTTTCAAGCAAAAGACATACACCTCATTCCATTTTGCGCTCGGGTATACGTTGAATAAGTCACCGGGGGATACTCAACATCCGTAATTATTCGAAAAATAAAGTTATTTAACGATCAAAAACTAAAAAAATAGTGTAAGAAGCAAAGTTCCCAAACTAATCAAAATCGGGAAAAACACTTACACAAAATCTTCTAATGTAAGCAAAAATTCTAAAAAACACACAACTGTGACATGCTCATAAAGACATGCTCGAAATAATGCTAAATGACACTTGACAAGTTCCTTCGAATGGCTCAAGAGAGATGTTACTTTTGCGAGCTACGGGATGTATGAACAACAATAAGAAGAAATTCATCCTTTCTTGTGTCAAAACATTATTGAAAGTTTGCTGAAATTGAATTGTTTGATTTGTTTTCATAATCACAATACATTTTGTTACAAACTATGTGGTATTATTTATGTAATGATAATATGATTACCTAATAATAATCTCATCAGAAATACTTATTGGCTTGCAAGGGATTGGTGTTTGGATTGTCATTTATATATTACTTGTAGTTTGAATTTTTTGTTGATATCATAGATGGCGTCTTGGAAAGGGAAGTCATCATCGCCACTATGGATATTTATTCACAATTGATGGCCAACGCAAAACCTGGTACTCGTGGGCTTATCAAGACTTTTCTCCCGTCTTTTTAAGACACCCATCTAACAATTCCATTCACTTTACTAGTTTACTAATACAGAGTTTACAAAGGAGATGGATGTCGAGTTAACTACTCCAAATGACCTCCCTGTAAATTTAGTTCAGGAGCGAGTCTACAGAGGAGATGGATGTCGAGTGTATGACTCCAACTGACCTCACTGTAAATTTAGTTCAGGAGCGAGTCTACAGAGGAGATGGATGTAGAGTTTACGACTCCAACTGACCTCACTGTAAATTTAGTTCAGGAGCGAGTCTACAGAGGAGATGGATGTCGAGTTTACAACTCCAACTGATCTCCCTGTAAATTCAGTTCAGGAGCGAGAGCTGCGGCATACCCAGAATCTGTCTCAGGTGGGGGAACTAACCCCCCATGAGCAGGTTAGCAAACGTTTGCGCTCAAGTGAGGTCTCACCAAAACCAGAGGCAAAAAACAAACTAATCCGCTTCGTTAAGAAGCTGGGTTTGTTTGGCCGAGTGACAATAGGTGTGAGCCACAATAAACCCTTGCGGGTTGCGGTGGAGGGTCGAATAGACCCACTCACTTTGGACCTAACCTTACTAATAAAGATTCTCATATTCCTCTGGACATAATTTGGGTTGTTCATCAATTAATCACCTCCTTTGATCCAGGTCCTCACATTATCAAAAGACATGGATGAGCTTTCTCTGTACAGCACTGCTGGAGTAGTTCTTCTGCTCTTTTCATTTTCTGATCTGGTCCCATACTAATAATTTTTGTAACCACAGAGCTAATTCAAAACCCATACATGGAGTTGATGATCCGTCTCCAACACATGCATCAGCTTTTTTGTTACTTGAGAGTTCCGAGTCCTTCAGATCTTCAGAGTGAAGGTCATGAGATATATGGTTGTTTTCTTTTTCTGCTATTTCGGACCTGTATGCTATTTCGGCAAATGTATGTCTAATTCAAAATATTTCATGATGATGACATTTATTTTCAATGAACTCAGTTTATTTTTTCAGAATGCAGTAAATAAATGCAAAAAACTTAGTTTTGCTTTGAAAATGTTCACAACATTAATAGGTATACTTCGAAAGATTCACTCTTACCCAGCAAATACGAAATTTCTTCTTTAAATACCTGCAAAAAAGCTTCTGATCACTTCCTCCAAGGTGACAACCTAAAACCTAACCTAAAATACTGCTAAAACTAAGAAAAGTTCTTTTCAGGCCCAAGAGGAATTAATCTCTCTGCCGCAGTTGTTCCTCGTGCATCCTTTGCTGCAGCTGAGCTCTGTTAAGGTCCTCTTCTCTACATCGCAGTTCCTGAAAAGGTAGATGATTTTATATCTAGTCGTTCTTTAAAAAAAAAGTATAATTCAGAAAAATATTTACCTCTTCGTAAGATTTACAAGCCTGGCGACAATGGAAAAGCGTAGGAAAAAAAGTAATGAATATTAAATAGAGTGATAATAAGCGTTTCTTATGTCATAACGTATTTATTGTTTTATACGTATGTATCTCATCAGACATATGTCTGAGATACATACGTATAAAACAATAAATATTTCGAATTAAAATCTCAAAACATTCATCTCACCCAACTACCTACACCGTAGGTTCTGGTAAATGCCTGCCGGAAAACAACTACTTCCCCGGCTAATACCACGCTGGATATTGAATTATATCCCTACTACAGTGTAGGTAGTTGGGAGAGATGTTTTGAGATTTCATTTCGTAATATTTATTTTCTCTTAAAACATAACTAGTTTTATGAGTGCAAACAACACTTCATATCATATCAAATCCTGCCATTACCTTGTATTTACATATTTAAATGCTTACTATACATCCACGATAATTTAACAAAATATAACACAAATTCTTCTTACCACAGTTACTCAACAAATTTGTATGTAGATTTAACCACTGTCTAATGTCCAATTGATAATATGTCTGTATTTTTGAAGTTTCTGGACTGACTACATTGAACTAAATGATAAAAAATCTAAATAGTTTTCCCTACCTTTTCTTTTCTGCGCAATTCCAAGAGTACCTCTTCGATTTCTTGTCGCCAGTCGTCTTGCATTATGTGAAAACTTTCGTGGGGTGTTTGTGTAAAAGACGAATGTGCTATGTGGTCTAAGTCGTCTAAAATTAGTTCGAAAGATGGCCGCCGGTGAGGATCTGATTCCCAACATTCTGAAACAAAACAACAGAATTACTTGTCTGAAATAGTCCCTCTCCAATAATTGTTTATTCATAAGTCACTTTTGCTGAATAGAATTCATTTTTCAAATCTTCAGGGCTGACTAATGCATATTGATTTCGGAATATTTGTTCATCATACAACCAGAACATTAAAGAAACTTGCAATATATTAATATGAGTGATGAAGATATACAATAATTATTATTCACCTGTCGAGTCTCATCTCAGGTGAGGTGTTGCATTGCGAAGTGTTTACAAAAAACATTTCTACGTGAAAATAAATTCCTTATCAGAAGAAGAAGAAGAAGAAGTTTAGGTTAAGAATGAACGAAATCTCGAATTTCAGAAAGGAAAAAAACCAATACATCTCGGTTCCATACCACCAATATACGAGGAACTTTGGAAAGATACACTACAGAGCCTTTTGGGAAGTCCAAAAGACAAAGTCGAGAATTCGGAAAAGTCTGGAATTTACGAAATTGAATGTCTGCGATGCAAAATATTATGGACAGACAAAAAGATCTATTAAAGTAGGATATAAGGAATACATAGCACACTAAAAATATGGAAGACCCGAAAAAATCAGCAGTCGCCCATCATATTTTGCAACAAAACCATTCCACAGACTTCAGTTCATTAAGATTAGTTAGACAAGTTAACAACAACAGGCAACTAGATACCTATGAGAGTGTAGAAATAAGTAAACACAATAATATTATGAATAACGATGACGGACCTATACCAAANATTCTGATTGATTTATTTGGAGTACTAGTGTAGACTGCTCAGAAGTAACCCAGATATGTGAAAATATTAAATAGAAATTTGAATTATTGGTATGTTACAATCTACAATTCAAAATTCATATGAAAGGTTTCTTTGTGTTCAGATTGTCTCCCAAACAATATTAAATGAAAAGTGGAATAATGGAATGTTACAACGGTTTATTGGCAGTATCATGAATAATTTTTATAGAGTTTATTGCATATATTTGCTTCTATTTTAGAAATCTATATTACTGCGTTTTCATTTATTCATGGTTGTTCGGGTATGAATCTGTATATGCATGTGTGTACGTAATAACTCTATAATTGAAATATTTTCTCTCTACATTGTATTATATACGGTTTGTAAAATTGTCGTCTGACACACCTTTAGAACATAACTGATACGAAATATACATAATATAAAATGAATAAAGAGCTTATGAAAAAATCGCTAAAACCGAAACACGAAAATATCACTCAAGTACGGCACTTTCTCTAGAATCGTATTCGAATGTCCTGAAGTTATTAATTGCTGATATTTATCGGATTTTCATATTCCACTGCTTTTTTTATACATTATCCTAAGCATGTACTGCTTGTTTCATGAAATCTTTGAGAAACTGACGATATTCTGTACAGCTGAGTAGAATGTATTAAAACTTGTAATTATTAATTATTATTCTCCGGTAATATTCAAAAACAACGGTAATATTTTAAAAACTTGAATGTCATACGAACGCAACATACAAACGCTGATTCATTTGTCATATTTATTTTTCATAAAAATATAAAGTATAGCTTAATATAATGTATTTTTATTAACTTGTAGTCGTTAATTACTATTCTCCGGTCATAGCGANTGATGGAAGTGGCAACGCCGCAATGCTGAAAATATTTTAGATCGATAGAACAGGTGAGGAAATGTGAGAGGTGAAATTTTCAGAAAAATCATGCTTTGCGTTTTCCAGAAACGTCTAACCTACCATCCACCGTGAGTCACGCTGTATAATTGGGATATGAATATACTCTTGAAACACCCCCGTTTGGAATTCTAAATAATTTATAAAATTACTGAATTTTGTGAATAAGTAGACCAAAAATATAAACAGCAGATATACTATTTCTTCATAATTGAATTGATAAAATTGATTTCATCTTTCCCCTTACTCAAAACAAAATTAAATCACTTGTTAATTTTTCCCAGTTGAAGGGTTCAAAGAAAATCTGAAAAAATACAAAGAACCTTTTGGGGTACATGAACCGTGTCTATGTCCAAGATATGGAATGCTTGTTATGGTTTCTCCGAATTCATAATATATCCTAGGATGGAAATCAGAGAAATGTTAACCAGTCTAAAGCTGTTGAGGAAACACAAAAACCCCGCAAGTTTCCGAAGATATATTTTTTCTGACATTCTGGACATTTCATTCTTTTATTCTCTGATAGAACACATCTACAAGTTTTCAATTCAATTATATGATTTTTTTTATAACTAATTAAACTCTTCAGAAATATTAAGCAGTACCTTTTCGGGGTTCACTTTTCAGTTTGCCCTTTATTGAGCAGATTCTTTATCGATTTAGCTTTGGTTTTTCAAATTTGTGGAAGTTTGAGAACCCCTAAAACATCAAGAAACACGGAAGAGAAATCTATTGAGAATCCACGTTGACACTTTGGTTTCTAACAAACAGAAATGTTCTTTGCCGCTCCATATAATATGCATTATATCAATCACGTCACCTAACAATCAAAGTAGAAATTAAAGGTAACAAGTTTAGAGATTCCCGATGATTATAAATGCACCTGGAGTGTGATATAATAACACCTGGGCGTACCAATTCAAAGAATTTAATCGTTAAAAGTTTGAATCAAATAATTCGAGTTCATTTCTAAAAATAACTCACCATCCTAAACTTTCAATAATACAGAAAATATCAATCGTCATAAATTGCACCTGTTCCGAGTATTTTAAAGCAAGTGATAACACATCTATGTCAGTATGAAGCCCATAAACTTTATCTTTCGGATTACCTAGCGATAACTTCAAATGCGATTCTGCCGATATTGCGTTGATCTCGGAATTGGCACTTTGCCCATATACACCTATTACAGGGTGTGTTTGAAACTGTTTCTCATCAGTTCCGTTCGTTTTGGCTGAGTTTTCGAAACAATCTCTGATAAATTCACTCTACAATCAAAATGAATTACTTGTTGGGAAAGAAAGTTTTTGTCTTTCTACTACTCCATCTGATACAAAAAAAAAGGGATGAGAGAATCTTCCAAAGAAAGGAAGGAAGTAATCAATTTGAAACTCTATA